AGTACTAGTACTAGTATTAATAGTAGGAGTAGTCGTCGTTACGACTGACTGCACAGCCGGTGCTGGGCTCGAGCCGCCGGCGCAGCAGAAGGCAGGTATCGTTTGTCCTGCGCGGCAGAGACTGCAATGCCTCTACCCAAGCGGCCTGGGGTTAGGAATTTGGGGTTAAGGGGTTTAGGGTTTAGGGTTTAGGGTTTAGGGTTTAGGGTTTAGGGTTTAAGGTTTAGGTTTATGGTGTTAATGTGTTTTTGAGTTTGGGCTGTTTGGGGCTTGGGGGGTTTCTGGAGTCGAAAGGCCAGGGCTGGAGGAGTGTAGAGTTATTCATGGGTCTAGAGAGTCAGGGCTTTAGGATTAGGAGTCATGGGTTTTGTAGTTTAGGGTTTTAGTTTCAAGATTTTCTGGGTCTCGGGCTGCAGCTTAAGGCCTGAGCTCAGAATCCAGCGTCACTCGCGACCGTTTTTTTGTAATATCTGAACATGCAGGCTATACGAGTTCCCGAGTTTGCCGGTATCCAGGTTGCATTGGCATCACCACAGGCCAAACTACCAGAGAGCTTGACACCCCGGGACAATGAAGGATAAGTCGTTAACATTTGTAGAGCTAAGGGCCCAAGTAGTCAATAGTCATGTTTTATAACTTTTGCTACCCAGAAAAGAGCCAAAGTCCTGCAATAGACAGTACTCTGACATGCCCAGAAGCAGGTCTTCTACCGCCCGCTCGCCGGGGTGAACCCCATGGAATTGGGACGCCGGGCAATCGGGACAATCACCAGCAACGAGCGTGTGGACGAAGAGATCGCCTCCTCGTCGGCCCGCAGGGCCGACGACACTCAGGCCTCCTGAGTCGCAACCGAGAGGGCCGAACTAGTGGCCTACGTCAAAGCGGCCAACCGGGAGAAAGTCCTCGCCCACTACTGCTAGGCCATCGAGGAGGAGCTGGTACCTTTTGATCATGTCAGCCCAGCAGGATCAGGAGCAGCAATGGAGCTCCTGGAGCGAGGTGGCAGCTGGCAACAATGGGAGCATGGCTTTGGTGGTCAGTGGCTGGGTGCCACAGATGCAGCCAAAGCCAAAGTATGCTCCGACTCCAACGGCAAAGCGTGCTCCGAATCCAAAATCAGGGCACACTGGCGAGGGCCTCACGAAAGATAGGAGCCACAAGAAACGGCAACTTGAGTCTATGATGAAGAAAGACTTCGACCAGCAGCTCAAGGACCGAGAGGCCGAACTCCGAGCGGAGTTTGAGGTGTCGCAGCAGACGGCGTTGGCAGAGCAGGAGAAACGTCTCGTCGGCGAGTTCGACCAGGAGATGAAAGCGGCGTTGACCGCTGTCGAAGACAGGTTTCTAAAGTCGATGGGTACGCCCTCGTTGGAGAGAAGGGCTGGCAAGCGGCCAATCGGGCCCTAAACCCTAAACCCTAAACCCTAAACCCTAAACTTGTCCAGGGCCTGTATGGGTCCCATGATCCTCCAAGTATACAGCCATCGCAGAAAACGGTACACTAACCCTGAAAGATACCTTTTGAGGTATGTTTTTAATTAAGCCCTCAACCTTAAGCCCTATAAACCCCAGGCCCCAAGCCCTGTATATAAACCCTAAAATCCCTAAGCCCTTTAAGCCCTGAATCCTATAAACCCTAGAACTCTATATACCCTAAACCCTTTCTACCCTAAACCCTACAACCCTAAACCCCATAAACCTACAGTAGAACCTTTTCTGCCCTAAACTCTAAAAACCCTAAACCCTTTCTACCCTACCTAAACCCTTTCTACCCTAAACCCTATATACCCTCAACCCTTTCTGCCCTAAACCCTAAAACTCAAACTCTATATGCCCTAAACCCTTTCTACCCTAACCCCTTGATACCCTAAACCCTACAACCTTAAATTCTATAACCCTAAACCCTATAAACCCTAAACCCTAAAAACCCTAAACCCTACATACCTTAAAACCCTGAATCCTATATACCCTAAACCCTGTATAACCCTAACCCCTATATACCCTAAACCCTTTCTACCCCCCAACCCTATAACCCTGAATCCTATAAACCCTAGACCCTATAACCCCAAACTCTTCATACCGTAGACCCTAAACCCTATAACCCGGAATCCTATAAACCCTAAACCCTACAACCCTAAACCCTATGTACCCTGAACCGCTTCTATCCTAAACTCTATAACACTAGACCCATTCTACCCTAAACTCTATAAACGCTAAACCCTTTCTACCCTAAACCCTATATACCCTAAACCCTTCTACCCTAAACCCTATAACCCTCAAACCCTAAACCCTATAAACTCTAAACCCTTTCTACCCTAACCTCTATAAACCCTAAACCCTTACAACCCTAAACCCTAAACCCTATAAACTCTAAACCCTTTCTACCCTAAACCCTGTAAACCCTCAACCCTTTTTACCCTAAACGCCCAGAGAGCCCAATATCTCTCAATTAAGGAATATACCTTAAATTATGCGGGCCCTGATATACCCAAATCCTACAACTACCCTGAACCCTATAAACCCTAAAACCCTTTCTACCCTAAACCCTAAACCCTAAACCCTTTTTGCAGGATTTAAGGTATCAAGGGGTATTGGGTTCTCTAAACGAAAGACTTTTGAGGCGCTGTAGCCGGGCCGCGGCCCTGGCGCGGGTGGCACGCCTCCCCGCGAGGCAAAGAGCAGGGTTTAGGGGTTTAGGGTTTAGGGGTTTAGGGGTTTAGGGGTTTCGGGGTTTCGGGTTTGGGGTTTAGGGTCAAGGGGTTTAGGGTTGAGGGGTTTAGGGTTGAGGGTTTGG